AGAGAGAGAGTGAGAAATCACCCCCAAGGGAGGAGGAAGGATGGCCATGCCACAATCCCTTCTTCTCCATCCTCCTCTAAGATCCAGCACCTTAACCTCCACACCACCTGCTGGTCCCCAAGCACATTTCTTTCTTTCTCTCTTCCTTCCTTCCTTCCTTCCTTCCTTCCTTCCTTCCTTCTTTTCTTTTTCTTTCTTTTTTTCTTCTTCTTTCTTTTTCTTTTTGAAGAGAGATTTATGCTTGCCAGCGAGACAGAGAACAGAAAGTGAGAGATCACCCCTCCAGGGGATGGCCATGTCACAATCCCTTCTCCATTCCTCTCTTGGGGTCTTGGCCATGCACCTGGCGTGAGTTTTAAGTCGCCGGGTCCGGGACTAGCACTGCGGTCGGTTATGTGGGAATCCAGCGATGTAACCATTACGCCATCTGCTGATCCCAAGCACATTGCTAGGCACCAGATTCGCTGCTTACAGAATCCTGTCCTCTCTCAGGACCTCCATGCCCCAGTCTCCTCCCAAGGCCTGGACGTATTTTGGCAGTGGGGCAGCCGTGAGTCCTACAGCCATGGGCTGCTCACTCCCTGGAGGCAGCCCTGGCACCACAGGCCCGCGCTCTGATGACCAGGAAGCTCTGAATCCAGCATCTACTGACTCTGGTTTCGTGTGGCCCCATGTTCCAAAGAGATCAGCACTTCTTAACCTCTTCCTTTCTGATCAACAGTAACTTCTGTCCGCACCAGGTTCTGTCAAGGGTCAGGGCAGCCCCAGTGGGGCGCAGGCCGCCCTCGCTGTCCTGCCCACCGTCAGCTCGTGGGTCTGCCTGCCTTGGCATAGCCTCCTGCCGAGAAGCTCCCGTTGAGCTTTACTGTTTGTGTTACAGGAACAATAGTTTCACAAAATGTCAAGGTACAAAATTAAAGTATTGAAATGCTTTTTCAAACTATTGCTCTACCAAGTTCCAGAGGACAAAGACTACCCCCAGGGCTGAGCACAACCCAGTGGGGCCACAGGCTGTAGGGCACTGGGCTTGAGTCCCAGCTGGGACAGGCTGGTCAGGCACCACTCGGAGCCTCGGTTCCTCTCCCCCTTTGTAAAATGGGATCCATAGTACCCACCTCCGGGGGTTGGCGGGACGGGGAAGACA